CGATTGGAGGAGGGTGGAGGAGGAAAAGAGGAAGAGAAAAGGAAGACATCATGAGGCGAATTCACTTGCACTCTGCTCTCCTCTCTTTGCAGGCCCGGAGGCATTCCTATCAGAAATCTCAAACACTCAGCGCAGCCTCTTTCTTTATTTTTCTACCAGTCTTATCCAGTTGATCTTTGATCCCCTTTTCACATTGTTTATGTTTTTCAGATTTCAAATGAAGTTTTGAGTATATATTCCCTCTCCCTGGCCCTCTGTCTTTGAAACTGTCATCGTGTATTTTCATGCAGAGCATATATTTTCGTCTGCAAAACGTATTCTTTCCAGACCTTCTAGATAGGCTAAAACATGCAATCGAATACTTTGTAAAAGTCTTAATCATTTTTAATATCTTATAAGCCTTAAGTTTCAGAGTTTCAAAATGTTTCTTCTTCCTTAAGTAAAACTTGAGCGAAAAAAACATAAGGGAATCTCGGTATGAGATAAGATTAATTTTCCAAACCTGGCAACTCCAAGTGTTGTTGTAATTGGTATGCTTCAGAGTTACAGCTTTTCTTTCTCTTACTTGGCAGCCACACCTGCAGCTCCACTTCTATGTCACTGACAATGACTCACATAAAACAAAACAGCATCCAACAGCATCAAATTGTCCACTGAAACGCCTCCATGATGCATACATCATCTGCTACATAGTTTAATATTACACTTTCACATTTTTGCAGTTACGAAGCTTGGACAGGAGTAATATAGCTCAAGAATTAGGCGAGTCTGATATATTCATTTAAGTACTGAGAATTAATATATTACAGATTATATTCATTAACAGCTTATCACATATGAATTGAGAATAATGTAACTGTTTAAAAAAAAAGCAGCAAAACATTGAGATCTTCAGGCAGACAACTTAGGTAAGACATCTTCAAAGACTTTTAAAGACAGGGTTAGATGATGAATAGAAGTCTGATTGATTTTGGCATGGTCACACAAAGTCCTCCGGGTATTGTGGCATTGAAAAGATGTTCCACATCCTGACACCTCTGATTCCTCTAGATCCACCCTTGGCTCTGAATCCAACCAACAATAAGAGCTAAGGTAAGAAGCTGGGAAACACTTGGGTTTAACAAGCACAGAGAAACGTGGCACCAAAAAGAAGATATGGACGAATAAAGTAGGCAAGGGGGCTAAGAAAGTCAGAAAGGGTGGAAACAGCATAGCAAAATACAGTGGTGATTGAAAAAGACAAAACGAGGAGTTTGTAGCGTGCTGGGTATGAGTGCGAAATAGTTTTCACACACAAGCTGGAAATGTAAATTTGCTATGGTAATTTGACTGTGCAATACATATTAACACTGCAACTGAAGCTCCAGGGTGGCAGGTTGTTTGAATGGAAATTTTATACCTACAACATGAGCTTGCAAAAAGTGTGGGCCATGTGACATATTGTATTTATAATTTCTGCACTGTCTGTGTGATTATGTCATATTAAAATGTTATCGAAGAGTAAAGCTCCTGATATATTTTACATTTCTTATGGTTAGCAAATCCTATAAAAATGCCAGAAACAAGTGTTTCAAAGAATTGCCTTGTAACAAAAGACTGTTATCTAATCAAGTGTAGTACTAAAACTACAGTACTGTTGCACTATTTGTTTCTTAATTGGGATAAATATATAGTACAGCTGTCCCATTTGTCACTTTGGGAACTTCTTTACATGTTTGGTAAATATTATATTCTAGACTATAGCTTGCATAGTACAAGTCTACAACTTCAGTAATACAGTGCAGCCTAATTCTGTGATTTAGACAGTACTGTGTTACTGCCTGAATATCTCTGAGCCCCCCCCCCTCACTTCTGACCCAGCATCAAATACAGCTAAAGGATCTGAGTTACTGGGAATCAACATGAAACTTTGAGTTTTAGCTTAAAGTTATTTAGACCTTTGCTCAGGTCTTTTCCCCAAGGCCCAGAAATTCAAAAGGGGGATTACTACTTTTGCTGGACTCACACTTCAAATAAACTGTGGTGGACTCATCAATTATTGTAGAGATAGTGCTGTTGATCTCTTTGATGTTGTTGCTAATCTTTTGAGCATCTACCCAAGATCTGTGCGGTGCTCTGCTTTAAACGTGTGAAAGTATAGAGTGGAATATAAAACTAAAAAGAAGGGAAAGGTGACATTTATTATATTTAATTACAGCAAAGTGAATAAGGTACAATGATGAAGACTTTTGTCTGCAACAGCAAAGGCACTGTTCCTTTTCTTAAAATACCACAGAGATGCCAGAATGGTTGATTTTTTATAGACTTTACTATAAACTCCAAATCAGGTGAATAGGAAAATTTTACATCACATGCTGAGATATTTAAATGACAAGTAATTTCCATAAAATGTATTCTCTTTTACAGCTCTGTATTACTACTCCATGTGAAGTGATCTGATTGAACCTAGTGTATAGTACACCTACATGTAATTAAGGAAGTTTTGGATTTAAGTGTGTCTTAAGGCTTAAGAAAGGACCTCGTAGCAGCCGTCTTTTGTGATGTCACCATTAACTGGCTCAATTCCTGTAGATCTGATATGACTTTTTCCCCTTGCCTTAACATCTTTTACAGTTATAAATTGTTTTTACACTATATAATCAAAGATGATATCAGCCTTATTTTGCTTGTCATTCCCATCTGTTACTGTTGATGAAAACTGTACTCCCATCAGGTTACAGTTTCTTTTTGTGAAACTGGCAACGTAAAACTTTGAATAAAGCAAAACTTTAAGGGTGTATTCACAGAAGGCGATCCATAGCATGCTTGAGTGCACTTAGCCCCCGAGTCCACGTCATTTGACAAGTGTGATTGCTGCTTGCTGTGTCCACACGCAATTAAGTGAGCGTGATTCAGTTAGAGTTGGGCAGGTACGCATATAGTGTGACTGCAATCACATGCCATAACAACTCTGAGTTGTGGGGAGAATTAAAAAAAAAAAGAAAGAAAAGAAACTCATCCATGGGGATAACTGAATTAGGGGCGAGGCCATGTTGATTGACAGACTGACAGGGGCTAATCGGTGTTTACTAGGCCTCAGACACTACTTCTCAGTCATTAAAGAGAACCTCTTAACTTTGCTTGTATGTGCTGACGTGCCCTCGTAAATATATATATTTTTAATGGATACTGGTA